CGCGCCGGCAGCGCGTGGTGCCTAAAGCGATAACGCTTCGCGAGAAAAATCTCAACATCTCGGCTCAAGACTCCTATCCTAGGTAAAACACCCTATTTGGAGCCACTTTTGTTCTTGGACCTACCCCAAAAACTGGCCGGAAGTGGCCGGAATCTCAACCCGAAATTCGGCTAAACTTTGGATCCAAGATCGAGTTATCTACACTAGAAATTTCTGAAATCCTACCCAACCAGCAGCTAGGGCTCGAGAAATAGATGAGTTTCCATACCTGGATCACCGGAAATGGTGGCCGGATGACGGAGAACGAGCCGGCGAAAGTTTACAAAAAAACTGTCGAACACCGCCTGTTTCGCGGCTGTTTTCGGCGACTATGGCGGCATATAGAGGCGGCTAAGGGCTGAAGTTGGAAGAGGGATGTTTGGTGGTTCGTCTGGCACTGGTCTTGCCTGAATCGGAGGTCGGAGCTGAGAGAAAACAGCTTCCAAAGTCGGCTCGTCCTCTGCCGAAAACCAGAAAAATCTGGGTTTATAAAATCTGAACTTCGAAATATTTACGGTTATGCCACTGAACTTCTTTTGATCGTAACTCCTTCTATACAATTCCGATTTGAGTCCACTACATGTCTACGAACTCGTTTCGTCGCGCTCTACGCAACGGTACAACTAAAATCTCCAAATTCCTTCCCGGTCAAAAAGTCAACTTTTAAACTAATAAAATATTCTAGGGGTATTTTTGTCTTTTTCTCAAATAAATTAATAATTAAATATTAATTTTGGGTTTGGGTTATTACAATATATCTACGTATGTATTTCTCATGTTTAATACACGTATTTTTTACAAAATTTTCAATAAAACACAACAAAATTTACGTATTACACAAATAATTCTCACATATTATTGAATAAAAATAATATATAGTTAAAAAATATATTAAAAGATTATATAGTTTTAAAATATATTAAAATATTATATAGTGGCCGATTAATATATGTTTTGGATATGTTGAAACTAGCAAATTAATATCTATAAAATATAAACTAATGCAACTAGGAGGGTGCTTTTCTCTTAATTTTTTATTTGTTAAATAGTATAGCTGCCCGACTATACCTATTTTGACACGTGGCACCTAAACGTTGGGGTGTCCTTTTAAAAAAAATAAAAACATAGTACCCTGGCAGCTATACTCAATGTTTTTTTATAAATAGTATAGCCGAGCGGCTATACGGATGTTGGATATTTTTTTAAATACAATAAATAGTATAGCCGCGCGGCTATACCCTTCACATGGCACCTAGGCGCTGTGCGGCTACTCTGTTTTTTTTTGGTTTGTTTGGGAATAAAGAGAGTAGTTTATAGCATTATTTATTACTATTAGGGCATTACCCGAGTCTCTATTGTTCCATTTTAATTTTTTACCTTTCTAGAGTTATTACCCATATAAATTTTTTTGCACTTTCACGTTTAATACTCTATTATACACGTACATATATATTTTTCAACAATATATCCGTGTTCTATACATGTGTTAAAGGCTCGGTAAAATGCACGTTTAAAAAAAAAAGGTCAAATACTTGTATTGCACATGTACGTACGCATTTCTCATGTTTAATACACGTATTTTTTTACAAAATTTTCAATAAAACACAACAAAATTCACGTATTATACAAATAATTCTCACATATTATTAAATAAAAATAATATATATTTTATAAAATACATTAAAATATTATACAATGACCGATTAATATATACTTTAGATATGTTGAAACTAGCAAATTAATATATATAAAGTACACATTATCATTGAAGGCTTTTAGATCTTCGTGGATGCGAAGGTTGACAAAAAGCATGATATGATGCTAGTAATTTCCTGTTTCTGTATTAGCTTGATAAAATTGAGAAGTTAGAAGAAACTGAACTCTGTGCATAAAGTCTTAAACCAAACTGAAAGTAATAGGCTCCAAGATTCTATTATTGAACATGCTTTCCAATTTGAAGAAACATTGGTTGGTTGTTAAATTTGAGATAAGTAAATATAAATAATTAGTATTTATTAAGTAATTTATGAAATTGAAAATAATTTTAAAGTCCGAAAAAATATTTAAGATAAGTAAATATAATTAATTAGTATTTATTAAGAATAAGAATTTATGAAATTATGAAAATACTTAAATACTAATTATTCATAAAATAAAGAATAATTAAAATATAAATAATTATTTATATTTACAAGAAGTAAGTTCCTTCTTAGCTTAAGCTAGAGTTTCAAGATTGGTACATTGATGTCTTGCATCCCATTTACAGATTCTACATGACAAGCATCTGAATGTTTATACTTTGCATGTTAACATTCTATTTTCAGTAACATACATCAACAGTATGAGCTAAGGAATCTCATCACGGGCTACTTACATTACTTGCTTTTGCCTGAGTCTCTTTAAGTGATCATGGTTGAACCTTCTTGATTGGATAGTTGCCTGTATTGGATTTAGCTTAAATTTGGTTATTATTATGTTCATGATCAGATGTTTTCACTAATATCAGTTGATCTTGTCCTACACACATATGCATATCAGAAGAAGTTTTGTTTTATTTGTTAATGTTTGGTAACACAATTGTTAGTGGTTCTTTCTGTATTTGTTTGTATCTTAGTTGAGTCAAGGAACAAGGCATGGTCGTATTAGAATTTGTTCCAATCTCAGTATACATGTGAATGAAACGTACGTTGCCTGAGGAAATTACGCAAACTAGTGTTGGCCTTTTTACGTTTGTTGCAAACTTTGCTACACCTCAGAAACGTTGAAAGCCATGGAGCCTGATCAAAGATAGTAGAATCAGTTCCTTCCTACTCCAACGGTAACTGGTGAAGGTGATACATGAACTTTGAACACAAAACGCATTTGTCTTCCTTGGTGTTTGAAAACAGGCATAGGGTCTCCAAACATTTACTCTTCATCTTTCTAACACGAAGTGTTAAACTGTCTCTTTGAGCTCTCTGAAAATTTAATTCCAGAAATTTTAAGTTACTGTGCTCACTTGATTAGGGTTGTAATACCGACTTAAACTATATATATATGCGAGTGCAACTACAAATGGTATCAGTTCAGCTATAGGCTGCATTTGTTAACAAGCTCGTATTATTGAGTGAAACGAGTTTGAGGCTTGCTAACGGTTTCGGAACAAGTTCAGATAAATTCGGAAGCTGGTTTTTTTTGGTTCGAGACTTAGATTTAGGGTTTGTAATCCATTTTTGGAATACTAAAATAATTTTATAGGATTTTAAATAATTTAAGGACTCATTTGATAACCATTTCAATTTTAGTTTTTAGTTTTCATTTTTTGTGCTAGAGTATAAAGGAAAATAAAAGTGAGATGGAGAGAAAGGATGAGAATGGAGGATGGAAGGGAGGAGTAACAAAAGTGAAAACAAAAACTTGAAAGTGAAAAGAATTTCAAATATATTTCAATTTTTAATTTTTATTTTCACTTTTGTTACTCCTCCCCCCATCTCCGGATCTTCCCATCTCGCCTTCCCTCTCAATCTCATATCCACTCTTATTATCACTTCCTCTTTTTCTTACTCTAGCATAAAAAATTAAAACAAAAAACAAAAATTGAAATTGTTATCAAACATGCCCTAAACTATTTTTAAAATGATTTCAAAAAATAAAACTAATTTTAAAGTCCACAAAATAATTTACAAGAATTAAATATAATTAATTACGATTTATTAAGTAATTTAAGAAATTAATTAAAATATATAATAAGTAAAACATAATTGCTAATTAAAATAATTAAATAAGATATTACTTAATAAATAAACTACTTTTGTGTAAAAAAATTAAACTAAATTAATGGACAAGTCACCGTTTTAGAGACGTCAGGTGTTGAGCTGGCAGCTCCACACCGTCCGATATAAAAGCCCGACCAAGTTAAACACACCGACGCGCAGAAGAAGCCCAAAAGCCACACGCCTCGCACATTTCACAAACAGACACAAAGAAAGAGACCTTCCATATCTCCATGAGAGTCAGAGCTTCTCTCAACGCCTTCTTCTTCTTCCTCCAATCCCACGCAGAAGCTTCGCGAAACGCCTCTGGATCATCGTCCCTAATGTGGGTTCCAGCTTTGAAGGTACTGCACCGTCTCAATTTCGTTACTGCCCAGATCTGATTCTCGCTTTTGTACATCACCTATACTGCTGTTAAAGCTTTTCCATGTAAATCTGCCTTCTCAGCTATCACTCTAGAGTTAAATCTAGCTCTGTTAGATCTTTCATTCTCATCACATATATACATATAATATGTAGGTGTCATAATTTGTTGAATTGGTATGAGAGATTGATTCAAGAAACAAAGAGAAATGGAAGCTTATACTGACAATTCCCCAAGAATGAGATTGGATCATTCAAAGAAAGAGGGATCCGAAGAAACCCATTTGTTGAGATTTGAGTTAGAACCTCCTGGTAACGATCATAGGTTCCATTCAATGAATGCTCTGGAGATTTTGAGGGAAACTGTGAGAATTCTCCGGTACAATTCGTGGGGCTTTTTGGCCATTGCCGCCTTGCTAATTTGCCCTTTGTCTGCCTTGCTTTTGTCGAATTTGCTAGTTGATCAGTCACTTGTAAAGAGACTAACCATTAGGATGTTGTTAATTGCCAAGTCCAGTGGCCTCCCTTTGAGGGATTTTATCAGTCATTCTTGCCAGAGGTTTGCTGAGATGGCTATCTCATCCACTATGTGCTTTCCTCTGTACATCACATTGTCTTTGTTGTCGAAAGCCGCCGTGGTTTACTCTGTGTATTGTAGTTACTCCCTGAAGAAGTTTGATGTATCCCAGTTTTACTTAATTATGTGCAAAATATGGAGACGGCTTCTTTCGACGTATGTGTGGATGTGTATGGTGGTTGTGGGTTGCCTCATCTTGTTTTTGATTCTTCTTCTTGCTGTGTGCAATACATGTTCCATAGTTGGGTTGTCACCTCCTCATATTGTATATGCTGCAATGGCGGTTGGCCTCATCTTCTCGGTTATTTTTGCCAATGCTATTATTATTTGCAACATTGCTATTGTGATCTCTGTGTTGGAGGATGTCTCAGGACCAGAGGCATTGGTTCAGTCTGGGGTTTTAATCAAGGGCCAGACTCAGGTGGGTCTTTTGATATTTCTTGGATCAACAATCGGAATGGCATTTGTTGAGGGGCTGTTTGAGCACAGAGTGAAGACGTTGAGCTACGGAGATGGGTCTTCTCGCGTATGGGAAGGGCCTCTTTTGGTGATCATGTATTCGTTCGTGGTGCTCATCGACTCCATGATGAGTGCTGTTTTCTACTTCAGCTGCAGATCTTTTAAGATGGAAACATCTTTAGACAGCGAGTCTCATTCAATTTTGGAAACCATAAACTTTTCTTCTGAATCAGTTGGTATTCAATGACACCATATGTACCACCAGCACAACCTTTTTTATTCAATAATTTTGAAGATGGGAGCTGCTATATGAAAAATTAGGATTTCATTGCCGGTTCGTGGTACCACCTGATCAAACAGTGCAAACTTGTGCCTTGGTAGAACTTTCAAGACAAGGGTTCATGGCAGGCGGTAATCTCTAAGTGCATTTCAGCTAGTTGACATATGCTTCATATGAGTGCAAACTTTGACTTCTTGAGGGAGATAGAAGGGAGGATGAAGAATGAGAGAGGTATCTGAAGGTCTGGAAATTGCAAAGAACTGATGTGAAGGTGTCAATTTGCTTCAAAAATGAATTTACAAATCCATAGTTCAATTCAACTAGTGTCATTAATACGTGTAGTCACGCCACTTATCAAAATTTATTTATTGACTTTTTTATTTCCTTTAAATTCTCACCCCCCCTCCTCTTTCTCTCTCTCTCTCTCTCTCTCTCTCTCTGTGATTTGAGCCCAGAAGACATAATTGGGCCATTGCCCCGGTAAGCCAGTAAGCCCATTCAAATTGGTCCGAACGAAAAAAAAAAAAAATTGAAAATTGGGTCCACGAGAATTGCTACTCGCTTCTAGCGTTTTTTAAGATGTAATACGACGTCGTTGGAAAAAGGCAGTAACACCGACGGCTGAGATTAAGACAAAAACGGAAATATAAAATAAATAAGAAGAAAAAGAAAAACACAATCGCGGAAATATTCGTGAATTTTGACTTGGGACTCATGGAGAGTCACCTTCAACACAAAATACAGAAATACGAGGAATTCGTGGATGGACGTCTCAAACCAGACCTTGTTCGCGCCATTGCTCAACGGTACCGTTTTAATACACCTCCGACCTCTGCTTTCCTGAAAGCCGTTTTCCTAGGGTCTTGTTTTGTGAGCATTACCCAGCTCGAGCAGAGCAGTAAATGCATAAGCTTGAGTTTGCTCTCATGCTCCGTTAGGGTTTCTTAGTTGCTTTTCAAATTTCTTGAAGAACTGGTACCTTGAAGTTGTAGCTTATTTTGATAGCTTTTTTCTGTTTCTTGTTTTGCAGGGACAAGGTGTTTGAGCAACAAAAAGTTTTGTATCCTTTTCGCTTTTCCTTATATTCCCCTTTTTAATTTTGATTAATTTGACCTAATGGATCAATTGGAATATCGAATGCGGTGGATTTTGCAACCCCGTTTGATGATCTTTGCTTGTTAAAGGCGTTTACTTGACTTTTGTTAGCTCGGATTTGCGGAACAACATTGAGAATTTGGAGAAAAACAGTGTAACCAGTCTTAGGACTTTGGTTAACCTTGGCTCTGAAGTCTATATGCAAGCTGATGTGTAAGTCTTCAGATTTTTTTCCCTTTGGTGTGCACTCACTCTTCATTGAACTTCTTTTATGGTACTCTATGTATTGTTCACTTTGTTGCTCTTAGTCACTGGTGCATGGGGCTAATTACAGAATCATGCAATGGACTTTTGTACTAGAGTTGTTACATGTTACAATTTTCTGTTTACAGTTGTGTTGGAATTGCTATTAATCCTGGTTTTGTTTCATCTTTGATATCAACATTGGACTAGGATTTCATGTGGAGTTCACCTGGTCTGAAGCTTTAAATTACATATCTCAAAGAGAAGAAAAGATAGCCAGGTACAAGCTTTTGTTTATAATTTTTCGAAGTCGGTTTTCTTGGAAGATTTTATTATAGTAGGATGTCTTATAGAGGATAGAAACATAATCGAACTCGTTGAAATCTACTAGATTTTTGGGAGTTATCCTACAAGATTTGTTCAAATTCTCCCTCTGCCCTGTTTTGGTACCTTCAATCTTCTATTTTCAAGTATTGCTCAAACTTAATGTATCAAATTCCTCTCTGTAGGCAAATTGAAGAGTATACTAACCTTATTGCATCAATCAAAGCCCAGATAAAGCTGGTATGTTCACTTCCATTGATGCTTTCTATTTGATTATTGCATTTTTTTAAATGTTGACAAGGGTTGCAGAAGTGGAAATTGTTTAACACTCATCAAATTATCTTATTTTGGAAGGATATTTTCTCTGCCTTCATACTACTGTTGTAGATTTTAACTCCAATTCAAACACCAGTGAGGAGAGGTGCTGGAAAGCTTAATTGTATATTGATAATGTTGAACTTAAATAGAACATTACATCTCTAGACTATGCTAAATTCAAGGACATGACTCCACTAACTTAATCCATTACTGACACTACTAACAAACTGCTTCTCCTAAAGACTTGGTAGAACATAACAACGTGCAACATAACTTTTGATAGAATAGGATAATCAGTTTATTTAATTAAAACAACTACCGTAACTGGATAAAATCTTAATAACTATAGGTGTTCCTAATAACTCAAATATTATTTGCCTCCAAGATAGAAACTAGAAGGCGCAGACATTAGATAACTTTTGCCTTTTTTTTTCTCCCTCTTTCTGAGCTTTTGAGTATACAAATTCTTTGTAGATTACGCAACTATGCTACAGAAAGTGCTGTATCTTGATGTAGTTGAACAAGTATATTACTCTTTTAGGTTTCTGGGTTATGAAAACAACAATCTTACACGTTGCTTTCAGGTATGCGAAGGGATCCGAGAATTACTCCAACTTCCAGCAGAGAAACATGCCCCAGAGCGAATTTTTTGACATCAACAACTTATACTTCTCTGTCTTATGACTTGCAAGTAAATCAAAGACTGTTAGAAATGCTTGACCATCAACTAATGTAAAAAAGATTATGCTTATGCTACCTTATCAAACCATAGCATGTTTCAATGAGGAGAGAATTTTCCTTGGGCTTCAATTCACACGTCATTTTTTACTCCATTACATTACACACGGTATCTAGCAATTTTCAAAGTTGGCCCAACCCATGTCAACAGCACAAACACCCCAACTTTGCAATCCAAAGGGTTTATGTACCTTCAAATGATCTATGGATAGAGTGATTCTGCAGTGAGGGTGCGAGGTTTTATTTTTTAACCGTTAGTCATATATTAATATAGAGAATTGTTGCATGTGGATATCTACAGTGGGCCGCGCTTGAGTTCAAGATTATTGCCGTAATGAATAGAAAATTAGAAACACACAAAACCAGTATCACATTCAGAAGTTTTTGGTTTTTTGGGGTACAGTTTTCACAATCTTAAGCAATCACATCAATGGTGAAAAAAGTATTCGTTCCATTTAAAACGGTCAGAGACTTGAGCTGGCTCTGGATGCCGCCTGAAAAAATTAGTCTGGTTTGTGCCTAAAAAAATAAACGGAGATGCCTTTTCTTGTCACCTCACTAGTCAATAGCCTGCAACTTTGGGTAAAAGGAGAGAATCAAAATAAAAAAGGTTGCATCACCGACATCAGTAATCCTACACTCTATTACCCAAATGCTATATCTTTTTCGCCTGTAGACATATCCCATCACCAAGATAACAACTTTAAGCAACATCTTTCATCTGTTTTTCGTATTTGTTTGTGATTTATTTTCCAGGATTTAATCTCACATATTTTCTCTAGACACTTAAAAAAAGTATTTTTGGCTAAGAAAAGTATGGATTTTCTACAGCACTTCACTACAATGACTCAAAGATGCTCATTTTGTGCATGCCAACAGAGATCTTGGTTAAGTTGAAAAGTGGGGACAAGTGATACATATGACATCTTCCATCTATCTATGGACTCTAGAGAGGTAGAGAGAGTAGAGGTACATTGGCCCCTACCACACCCTGCCAAAACCCACGTTGTGTCTCAGTCTTTCTGTATCTTCTCGTGGCCGTGCAGTACTTTAAAGTATGTCTCTGAAGAAGGACTGATGCAAGAGAGAGACACAAAGGGAGGGGAAAAAAGCAATGGAGAAATTAATGGTGGGAAAAAGGCCTTGCAAAGCTGAAGAGACAAAAGGGGAAGTCCAAAGTCAGACTTGGACTGCCTCTACTTCAAATCCCATCCTTTCTAGGCTTTTGTTTTCTCTCTCCCTCCTCTACATCTCTCTCTCTCTCTCTGTGTCTGAGCTAGGCACTGTCTGTCTCTGTATTCTTCGCTCAATTGGGCTGGCATCGTTTCAGATTTTCAGTGAGTGGTGAGGTGAGGTGAGTGTGTACCATCTATTGGGGGCCACATAAAAAATGCATCTTTTCTTTTGTTCAAGTATTTTGCTTTTCCCCTTCTATTCTTCTTGCCCTTGCATACTTGCATGCATGGTAAATAGCTATGTCTACATATAATTACACTGAAAAAGTCAATGTCACAGGTGAAGAGTGCCAGTAGATCCTCCCTTTCATCTTTTCTGTCTCCCCAGCAATAAACTAATTAATGATACAAAATGTAATAATTGTTGTAGTTAAGTTATATTGTTTAAATATAATGTGTTTGTTGGGTGCATGAGTTATGTTTCATCAAACTTTGACAGTGTCAAATGAGGGCCTGCAAATTAATCATAATTGGGAAGTAGCATAGGCAATTGATCAGCTTGTGTTCTGTTACATAGGACTAACATAATCTATGTGGCCTTCCTATATAAACCAATGAATTAACTGCCATGCAAGGAGGTTAAAGGAATTAAAATTTAGCAGTAAAACATGAGTTTCCTTACATTCTCACTAAGTTTTGGTAGTTCCATTTCCTTTGGAGGGCCAGCTCGGGAGAGTGTGCAACCGCTTCTGGTGTAAGCTGTGGACTCTGATCTCTCAAGGTAAAGCCTACCTCTATATGCAGCCAAGTGAGCATAGTAAGCCGGAGGCACCAGAGAAACTGGCTTGGTGCACCTTACATATGTGTAGCACAGAATGTTAACCAGTTTCTGTAGTTCATCTGAAGTGAACTGGTTTTCATCCCACAATATGTGGTAATGGGTTGGCCTGCTTGTTCCCTTAACACCCCAATGGCTACAAAGATAGAAGTCAAACTCTTTTGGATGAGTGATCACAGTATCCACAACAGTTCCCGGGGGAATGTTTTCGTCTAGTAACTGGTTCTGCCTGGAAGATGGATCAATTTTGAAAGGAAACAACCTTGTGTGATGCCTCTTCTGAACCACCGCAAATGTTATAGGAGGTGCATAACCAGGAAATTTTGAGCATGCACCTTTAATGGCTTGCAACTCCTCTTGAAGCACTTTATAAAATTGCGTTTCACTTACCCCGTCTCTAAAGAAAACTATTCTCTTTGGGAGCTTGCCGACTTCCTGGTAAAACTCATCCAACAATTCTTCTGTCATTGTACCAAGATCCTGGATGATTTCTTGTCTATGTGTCTGAGACCTCATTCTTGAAACGTACTTGTTTGCTGCTGGCCAATTCATGCTACCAACCACAGCAGCAACAGAAGGACTAAAATCATCGAGTGGGTGCGGATGAGTCACATCTGCACCCATAAAGATCACTGGCTCATCAGTTTGAAGTAGCCGAGGGATTTGAGATGGCAAGGAATTGTACAAAGAAACTGTGCATCCCCCAACTTTTGCATTGATCTTGAGAGCCAGATTTGCCAAAAACTGTGAACCCAACTTGTCAAGGTTTGAGTACAAGCAGCATTGGCTTAAAACCCCAACACTTGTATCCGCAATTCGCTTGAGGTCTGCATAGCCTTTGTGCTTTCTTTCCATTACACATATAAGCAGCTGGAGATTGTTTGATGCAGCTCTTTGGATTCGTTTAAGCTTAGATTCTAAAAGAGACACATTGTTAAGGACTTGGGATGGTTCAAATTGGGGACTAATAATTGTGTTTTTATTGAGAAAGATGCCCAACTGTTCACATCTTTGAGATAGCTGGTGTACGAATTTTGGAATGCTGTTCTTCTGATCGGGGGTTCCACCAAAACTAATCAATGCCCACCTCTCGATTCGAGTACCTTCAAACACATGGCTGCCCAGAAGATTCCACTGGCGATCATGACGAGAGGGAATTAGGTCTCTTACATGTCCACCATCTCCAAGCTTTAGCTTTGGAGGTTGAAGAACTCTTCCTTTCAATCGCGTCATTTCTCTTGAAACATGGAGTTTGAATTCTCTTTCCTGAATGCCACTGTACAGAAACAGAAACAAGTGAACATCTAAAGTTAATTACAGAGCAAATTGGGACACTTTCAAGAACAGAAACTACGATAGTATTACTCAACCTTCAAGGCAATTCACAACAAATTTCCATCAGAACTTTTTTAGAAGTTGGAAAATTACCTTGTTGGTCCAACAGGACCTCTCATGACTCCATCTATAATGGCTTTTCGTTCTTTTGGTCGTTGGCAGCCCATTTTAAGTATCCTTGCAGTCTGATCATCTGACAGCTTCCCAAGAAACTTCTGGCCTTCACAGATCATACATAGCTCCATTGGAAGATAACATGGTTTACTCCTACTAATCTGCAAACATGGCAAATTCCTGAATTGTATATCATAGTTATAGTGATCCTTGAAGTAAGTCACCAGCCTCAAATTCTTCCCATCCCTATCTGCAAACCAAAGATTTTCAGTGGCTTCCTCGGTTAAGCCAAAAACCCGGTATCTCTGAACAGTTTCTCTGTGGCAAACAAAGACCCTGATGTTCTTTAAAGCCCTCTCCACTTCTTTCCTTTCTTTTTCAGTTAAACCCCTTGTCTTCCTTTGAGAAAGGTCTCGAAGAAACTCAAGACGCTTCTGCAAGTATGAGATCACTCCAACGCTTTCATGGAAAGCAGTCACAGAGAAATCTACATTGAGAGCTAGTCCTTGTTGGGTTGGTCGAAGGCTTTGAAAGAACCCTCTCAATCCCACAGCTCCTCCTCCAATATCTTTAGTTCCTCCCATTGAACTTGAATAAAGTGATCTTCCCACAGGTATACACTTCTCCAATGGGGCCTCCCTCAAAACGACATCCAAGGCATGGAGATAATCCTGAGGAAGAGGCTTCCAGTCATCCCCTTCGTTGCTCAGGTAACTACTCAATTCCCTCCCATCAATCTTTGACACCAGTTTAATATTTATACGAAATAGTTTAAGTTGTTGATGCTTCTCCTGAAAACCACTGAATACTCCAAATGGCAAGCTTGGCTTGCTTGTGGGGATGGGGAGGCTTATATAGAATTCAAGTCTATCACTTTTGAATTCAACCGGGCTGTAAAGATTCTTGCGGCCATCATAAGCTGGAATAGCACCAGAGAGCAAAGCTGAGTTATCCTCTACCAGTTTTTGTTTGATCATTCGAGCAACTTCCTTGGAGGAATTAGGCGAGATGTCAACATTATAATGGAAAATTCGTTCTGATGAATCAAATTGGACAAGAAAATGGTTAGCTAAGAGAGAGATAACAGTTCCTTCTACACCACCAGAGTCTGGTCTCCTTGCAGTCACTATTGCTTTTCCTGTTCTTGCACATGTCAACTTCCTTCCATCTTCTCCCTTGAAAGGTGAACTGGTTTGCTCTTGGAACCCCTCTGAAGCTGCTGATTTTTAACAGAGAACAAGGTTAATCATAAGATTGTCAGAAATTGAGGAATTTTAAGCCTAAATCAACAGTAGATGGTAGAACTGGCAACAAACATCAATTTTAGCAATTTTGTTCTCATTGCAGATAACTATATCTATCCAGTTCTATATCAGAAAGTCGCCATTGAATGGACAAGAACCAAATGTGTAAAACTGAAAGCAAAAGCAAAACTTGGAAAAAGAAAAAGAAAAATCATATCCATTTTTTAGCCTACGCTTTTGGTGAGTGTGTCCTCCTGATAACCTCAATGAATAAAGAAACATATCCTCACAAAAACAGAAAACAAAATAGAAATCATTGCATACATAGTTGCACTTCCAAAGAACAAACATGCAAAGAAAGGGGAAATAGCAAAAAGCAGAGGGCTTTG